TATGAGAGTGATAAAAATCCCAACACAAGAAAATTGCTTTCTCAAGGTAACCAGGTCTGTACCAGGGATGGTATTCTTATGCACAAGTTGTTACATAAATTGGTCTTCTAAGGACACACTTCAAACAATTTGTTAGTATAAATCTTACTCAGAACTAGGAACGATAGCTGAGTTTTGTGGCCGTACTGATGGAAACTGGAGATAAATGGACCTAGCCGAAGCTGTCTGGACTGTAACTTCAGGCATTTTCAACCTTGGTGAACTTCAAATTTCTCCAAAGAGTTCCTGCAAGAGTTTTTAGTTTAAGAGGAACTTAACCAAAATGTTTAAAATGTGGTGAGAATTACATTTGGATGAAGCTTTATCATTTCCGTGCAGTACCTAGGTACTTTCTGGTAGGCTTCCAAATAAGCTTGTGTAGAAGGATATCCAGGGACTGGGAAAGGGAGGTGAATAAGCTTAATCCTTTAAACCTCCACCTAAAGCCAGCAAAGGGAGCCCTACTCCCATCTAGAGACCCACCATTCCCATTATAGAGTAGGCTTCTCCGTCCCAGCTCTGAGTTGTTCCGCACCTGTGGCACAATTCAAGCTCTGGGCAGGGGCCACCCTGTTTTGGAGATCAAGCTCTTCTAAAATTGCTTTCTTTTTCCTTCATAAGTTAATTTAATTTCCTGCATTTCCACTCTTTGACATGTGAAAACATCAGACGTATGACCACTCTGCACAGAGTGGTGAGTCATGAAGAGACAGGTGAGAGGTTTATCGAAGAAAAGGAAAGTGCCAAAGACTGAAACTCCTGAGGCTTCATTTACGTTAGCTAGTAAGGCCCAACAAGAGTAAACTTGTAGAGTTTGTCTCACTTCTGAAAATGCAGCATCTAACCTACATGCATTTGGGGGGGCAGGGGATACTCTGAACTATCTCCAGTCTAGTCCCACCAGCTGGGACATGTTAAATATATAAACCAAAGCACTTTAAGTGGCAGTAACTGGCAGATTTTTTTTTTTTTTGTTACTATTATTTTTTCCCCAGAAGTGCACTCCTGACAAACGAAAACATTGATGTAGGTACGCCTTGTAGGAGCAGCTGTAATAGAAAGGTTCTGCAAGACAGTAAAGCAGTAATCAAAGGTAGGAAGAGAAGCAGTCAGAAGAGAGGCTAAGAAAGAGGGGAGAATCTCCAAAAGTAATAAGCCTCATTAAAACTGGAAAATGGAGAAAGGCAAGAACAGAGTGCAAAGTGCTTCGGGATTTCTGGCTTACCTTTCTAATGACAGCTGGAATGAAAGCCTGAAAGCCGCAAGTCAGAGCACAGCAAAATGAAATTTATTGGAGAGAAGATGGTTGTGGTGTAAGCATATAGACCACTATACATTTAAATGCAGAAGACGAGGTGCTGAAACAAGCACAGAAAAACCGAAAATTAAATGGTGAGGATGCAAGCAGTGGCTAGGAGGAGCTGGGATTAATAAAACAAGATGAAGGTTAGCTGAAGAAAGCAGAACAAATATTTTCAGTGGAATGCAGTCCAAACCCACATATCAGGATAATGGGAAACTTGAGATCCCACGATTTTTTGATCTTCCTGTTTTGTTCTGTTGTGCCATAGTCTGATAGCTTTGCATTTGCCTGTCCCCTACGGTAAGAGTCATCCCGCTGTAATGTCATACCTTATTTTTGTGATTAGGCCTATAGTTGAAATATAGAGTGACTCACCAGCAGTATTTCAGCCGAGCGAACACAATGATTCTAATAACTGTCTGCTAATTAGCAGGTTTTTGAGATAAAGACAGTTGAATAGCTTGCATCCTCTGACACCCCAAATTAATAACGCTCCAGTAGCAAATAATAAAGTGGTAGAGATTGGCATTATTACTTTTTGGTACAGCACAAAATAGATTAAAATGAATCTGGCTTGTTTATCCACACAGTCTAGACCATTTCAAAATGTTGAAGATCTCTGCTTTGGCTCTAATATGCGATGCCCTAGAGAGCTCTATATAAAGCTAGAAGAACTGCTCCTAAAGCAAGATTCAAACATTTCTAGATCACGATTTCATGAATAAAATTAATTAACCAACAATTCATTACATTCTAAAAGCTTCATCTGACCACAATAATCCTTGTTTGTAGCCCAAACAGTATTTGGTAATTGCAGAACGATGGAGCAATGTGGATATTTTTTGATTACAGTTCATTACATAAGATTACAAGGAAGAATTTTTCTTTGAATCATAATGAAAACTTAATTGACACCACTATGCTAAAATATTTCCAATGATTAAATTTCAGTCTGTGTCTTAATCAGTATTATATTAGAAAAAGATTTTAACAAGATAATGCTGTGAACATAATTTCATTGCATTATAAAACCTTTGGCTGGATCTCATAAGTAATTAAAACTCCAGCCATCTTGGAAATCTGACACAAATGCAATTGGAATTTTAATATTCTTTATGATTATACAGTGTCAAGTTTCTTTTATTCTTCTCTACTACCTTTAATCATATTTAAGCTTTTCCCTCCCCCCCATAGTCTAAAATTTATACCTGCACGATAATTTCAAGAGCAATGAACATCAGACACCAGAATCATGCCTCAGGATGCAAGTTAAACTTAAGCAACAACATGGGTAATATTACAAAATGCAGTTACTTTTCTGCAGAACATGTGCAATGATTCCCAAGGATTGCTCTCCTGGATCTTTCGCTCTCTCCAGAGGTGCCGTCAGCTGTGGCTGAACGTGCCGAGAGCTCATTCAGATATAGAGCAGCCTTCATGTAGGCTGGGCCCTGCCCAGTAAGGGATTTCTACCATGAGCTCACATTTATTTCACTTTCTCAACACTGTGTTTAATAAAATAACAGGCAGATAACCTCCTGTGGAGATAACAGGATGCATTCCACGACTACAGTGCTGCCCATCCTTCATACAGACACAACTGGTTGCCAGAAGTTTTAATGTGGCAATAGCATATTTTGAACTAAAATACCTGGAGGGAAGGACACAGAGCCACTCTTTTAGAAAATGCTGTGCACTTGTGATTCAGCCTGCCCAACGATGGGCAACTACATCACTTTCGGCTGAACTCCTGACACTTATGAAGATGGTCTAGAAGGAATCCCATAAGCCCCAGTCCCACAGCTTGAATTAGAAGTAACCCATGAAATCACTGAATTAGTTGTCATTTAAAGGGTCCAGATGGCTTGTACGCTAGAAGAACAGTCAAGAGAAGTGCAAAATTCAAGGTCACGTTGAACAGCTAATTGCCAAACAAGGAAGCAAGAAATAAAAGAGTCTGAGGGGGAAAAAAAAAGTTACTTGTGCTATGTTGCACAGTTCACTAAAATTTAATGCCCTGTGTTAAAACCAGTCATAGATGTTGATAAGATGATTAAAACTATACAGCCACAATATTTTGATCCAGACTTCAAACAATACAACTGTGGATTCACAGTCTTGGTACAAGCTTATTTCTTACTACAAGCTGTAAGGAACACAAACAACAAACCACTGTAGTACATTTAGCTCATTACTTAATTAAAATCTGCCATTTGCAAGAGTGTTCCGAAAATTTTTCTCTGAAAAAAAGTTTTAATGGAGTATGTGAAAAATGGTTACAAAACTCTTGTATTTGTGCCAGTGCCAGAAAAAATCAGAAGAATAAAAAGATGCTACAGAGGAAAAGATGCTATTAAACTTGACTTCTGGATTCCATGACAGAGACAATTTACTCAACACAATTATCCTGGTTTAAAATACCTTTATAGACTAATCAGACCAAACATAAGCCAAGCTTATAGCACTCACCACAAGGCAGCACATATTTATATGGAGTTAAGTTTGGGAATACATATGGTTTATGTGATGCATAGATGTATTTTTTTCAGTGATACATATATGTATATACACCCCCCCCCCCATATAAAATGGATCTTATAATAATTCTAGAACCAAGCAACATAAGTGCAGGGAATGCAAACTCAAAATACATTTACAAGCAATCTATACATATGTAAATACACACTTATGGCCTAATGAATTTTCTAGTCGCTGCAGAACAGCCCAGCTCCTGTTGGAATGTCAAATATCCCCTGCACTGAATAGCATGATGACAATTTTCTGTGTCTAAGTGACATCAAGAAGTATGGAGAGTGTGGAGAAGTATGGAGAAGTATGGAGTATGCATGTGTGTTTGCAATAAATTAGGGTAGCATAATTGTTTCCCTCCCCAAGTATCAATTCTATGATAGTCTTGAGCAATAACTTGTCAAGAATAACAGGACTAAACCAGTGACATACAGACACCATGTATTAAAAAAAATGTTTATTTTTTCATTAAGAATATTTACACATTTTTTTGTTTATGTACAGTCATAAAAGAAAGTTTAAAACTCAAGTTTAAACATCAGGATTTCAAGAACACAAATTTATTTACTTCAAAATTAGCTTCAAGTTATCTGGCACATCTTTCCCTGGAACTCTCAGAAGGCATTTTACAGTAAGCTGAGCTGGTAACAGCTACCCATCTCCAAAAGAAGCAGTCCTACCTGCCCCGCGGTTTTCCCCCTTCTTGCATGTAGAAGCTGTTTTGCTTTGAACTACACTATTGCTTGTCTAGCCCTTCAGTGACCAAGTCAGGGAGCTAAACTAGTGAAAACCTGGTTTGAAAAAGCTGCAGTGAAAAGCTACATAAAAAGAGCAATGATTTTCTTCAAACCAGGGTGAGGCTAGATGAGCGCCGGAATATTGACACAAAAGGGGCAGAAATTTGTCACCAGGGTTGAGGGCGAGAGTAAGACCACTTCTTTTCTCAGCAGCTAACCACAAGACCATCTTAACTGCATGAAGAAAGCATACACTTAGAGGTCATAGAAGAAAAGACAACAGTCTCTCCTGCTTCCAACACATCACAACAAAATTTCACATTGCATACCATGGTTTATTCCCTACGCCCTTGACAGACGAACAGGAGACATCTGAAAAGTAACTCTGCTTGTTATTGCCAGATCTTGATTTCTCCAGCCCAATCACATGTTGCAAGGAGCGACGGCAAGACTGGGTGAAATATTGCACTCACACAAGCTTCTTTATGTGCAGACAAAGTGCGAATAATCCTAGCAGTATGATAGTTGTAGAAAAACACTTTGCCATCTGAACTTCCTGTCACCACAAGTGTTCCATCTGGAGAAAATTCACAGCCCACTGCAAATCCTTCCACCTGTGAAAATCAGTAACAGTGTAACTCCTGATGCTGATTAGAAAAGTTCATTGTCATACACTGAAAATGAATACGGTACCAAAAAAATTGTATCTTTAAATAAATATACACTGAGGACTTCTCCAGGTGTTTATTAAGACACAGCTATAAAACAAACTTATTTAATCAAGCTATTAAGTATTCATAAAGTCTTCTAATAACTATTTTCTTCAGAGTGCATATGATTCAAAATAGACTGGCACACGGGAAAGCAAATGAAGCCAATTAATATCTATCACTGATTTATAATCAAACACTATTAGCAGACATATTAAAAAGCACAAGTACTTTGCTATCTTCCTTCTAGACTTGGATATTAAGTTCCCGGTGAAGAGGGGTACCTTATGTCCTTCGTATCTTTTCTTTTTGTTGATTCGGTAAGGTCGCTGGGCGGAAAACAAAGCCATGTAGTTCCCATTCGTCTGAGCAACAAACACAGACTCTTTTGGGTGCAGAGTCAGACTTGGGCAAGTGTAACGCTCCTGAAAGTAATTTTAAAGAAAGTTTTGTTGTATGAAACAAAAGATTTGTTCGAATGAATCAGGTTGTCTTTTGGCATATTTGAAAGACTATAAAAGACAACGTATACATAAGTCATCTCCGTAGTATATATTATATAAAGATACTTAAGTCATTACAATCCACTGAAAGTCTTACAAGACAAATATCAAATCAAATCTCTACCCCAATTTCCTAGATACTGACCAAAATCCCAGCTCTTTCTGAACCATAATTATACTGCAGAACAGCTGCAGAAAGGTAACTACAACCTGATGGTACTCAATCATCCTCTCCCTGCCCAAGGAAAACTGAAGTTTGAAGGTGAAAGTGAATCCTCTTCTCTCATATCCCTTCCTCCATAGTCATACTGTGCCTTCCATGCTACTGTGTACAGTTCTCAAATTCTCCATCCTCTCAGTTCTGGCCACACTGACAGGAACAGAAATCACTCCATTTAAACAGATACCTTCCCCCAACCCACTCTTATAAAAAATGTAAAAAAGAAAAAAAAAAAGGATCATTATTAGCCTACTATGTCAGAAGTTCCTTATGACAGTGATTTGCCATGTAGACTGCTGCTGGCTGTAAATTCATAAATATCTGCAAAAATTAATAACGCTTGGCTTTACTCTAGTGTTCCTATTTAAGACTGAACTAAGATTACTTTCAAAACTCTGCATGGTGATTGCATCAGAAATCAACTGCTCTTGCAAGGTTTTCACCAGGTCCAAACCTCTTCTGGCTTCAGCCTAACCTGAAGACATAGCACTGAATTTTGATGCCATGAATACCAATTAAGAGAGCTTTGGCTGTAGGATGCATCTGCATGTGAAGGACACCAGGTTGACAGTGACCACTGGACACCATGGACTATGTGGTAGCGTGAGAAAAGCATCAGACTGGTTTTGTTATGTGGTTTAGAAGTGATGAACTGGGAAAGAAGTTCTGGGTATTGTAAGGTATTGAGCACAGAAACCAAACAGGGTTAGGCAGTGTGCCTGGCTAGGAGTGTGCTCTATGCCAGAACATTGCTTGCTTCTAGGGAGAAACTGAGTCTGACAGTAAGGGATCAGAAAGCTCAACACAATCTGCAAGAGCACTGTGCTTTTCTGCTGGGTGTACTGTAGTAATGGGTTATTTCAAAACTCTTAATTATTCTTTTTTTTAATGTAGACAAGCAATAGATCAAGTTCTGTTGAGATCTAATCTGTTTGGAGAGTTCAGGGGTTCTCTCCCACCCTGAAGGGTTCAAAGGTGAAATTCAGAAAAGCAAAGCAGAGTTTCCAAAATCACCACCAAGTTTTGTTTACTCACAGTGCAGAAGAGGGGGAAAACTGTCCATTTCAGGGATGCTGTAGTTCCGAGAAGGTAGGCTCTGTGGGGTTTTTGTTTGTTTGTTTGTTTGGCAGGGGATAAGGGAAAAAAAAAGTTTGTTTTTTATTCCTTGCTACTGAACCTGACTGGTCTGTGCTTTATACGGAGGGCTTTTTTCCCTATTGCCTACCCAATGTGTTGATAGAGCCAATATTGGACAAAGACATAACTGTGAAAATTAAACATGAAACAATCCCATCAGTAGAGAATGTTCATTTCAGCCAAAAATCATCTGTATACAATCCAATCGTATTATATTACATAGGATATTAGACTTGGGGTTTCAAAAAAGACCCAGGGAGTTGGAATTATCTATTAACTTCCTTGGTAATCTCCTTTGAAGCTGTCAGTCCTTCTAGACAATTTAGTCCATTAAATATCTTGCCTGGATAGATTACTGAGAGAAATACCGCGCCTGCACTGATAAAAGTAAATTTTGCCTCTGTGATTACGCTGTACTAGATATGTATATGCATGTATCAGGTTGCTATTACCATGCAAATATTAAACTCAATTTGTCAATAGCCCTCATTGCAGCTGATGAAAAATGTATGAAGAAGCATGGGAAAAGAAACGTGGCACTATAGCAACTACTGCCATGCACCACTGGCAAGCTAGAATGACACTGCAGTGGCCTTGCCTAAATATAGTTTAGATGTCAGTGAATGTGCACTGACATGGAAATACTTTCAACACACTGAGACCTCAAGGTCATTTTCAAGAATAAGTGTTTTTCAAATACAAAAATAAAGCAAGCCCTCAACTTACATTAAGAGTATTTTATACATCACACAACAATCTTGCAGAAAATAAAAAACTTTTTCTTTTTTTTTTTTTTTTTTACAACATTGACAAGCATGAAATACTAAATCATGACCCAAACAATATTAGTTGTTAGTCTTACATGAAAAATCTGATTGGAGATTTTTGCAGCACTTTGGAAGTCCCATGCAATAATGGTACGATCAGCTGAATCCCGGCTTACTGCATCTGTGCTTGTAAGAAATTCTCTTCCATCTGGGAGAAAGAGTATATCCAATGTCTGTTGTACTGCAGCTTTGTACACTCTTAACACCTAGTGGATAAAAAAGTTTGTTATTTTTTCACAGATTAGAAGAACATGATAACCTGTGTTTTCTCTCTTAACTATCTCCAACAAATTATATAGTATTTTAAAATGTGAAAAAGTAACTGATTGTTAAATGTTGAAGTACTAGTGTATTAAACAGCTTACTAATGTGTGTAAAGAGTCCACACACAGGAAGATTAACTGAGATAAAGCATCGGTTTGTACAATTTATGTATTATATCTATATATACATAAGATTATGTTAGAAATTCCCAAGAAATTAAGAGTTAGATCCAAAAAGAGCTTTAGACAAGACAATGTTGTGGAGCTGGGTCTACACGAACTCCCTTCTCTTTCATGAACTCAGAGCACTCTGAGGATCAGTCTGAGGATCTTTCCGTTGTCCTTCCAGGAAACTTCAGAATTGTAAGTTTTTGGTCTTTTTGTTCTCGAAACCTTCAGCTAGTTATAGAGCCGGAGAAAGGAAAGTAATTAGGTTAGTGGGGATTTGGGACTTACAGGCATGAAAAGGACATGGCAGGATTGAATATTCTTGTCGATCATTCCAGACTTAATTATAAACCACTGTTTATGACAGGGGATGAGTAAAACTTGATGATTCAAGGCTCTCCCAAGGCTCTGCTGTGTGTCATTGCTTAACTTGCAAGTGGCAAGACCCCAGTGTCAGGACCGTAAGGCAAGGGAGCAAAGCTTGCATTCTCAGTCAGAAACCGCCTACGAGGCCGGTGTGGACACCCTTAGCAGAAGAGTTCATCCTGCAGAAGATACCTCAATCCCACTTAGGACTCGGTCTGATACCCTCTCCCAAAAAAAAGGAACCTAGGCAGAGTACGCTCTTTTAAACTGCTGCCAGAGAGGGGGGATGGAGGTGCCAGGAGCACTGCTGTCAAACAGTTCAGTGCTTTAAGGACTCAGCCAGGATCCTGCCTTTGTCTACGGGGATTCAATCCCAAACCTCCCACCTCATCTGCCTACAGATGTCCTGGCAAAAGGCAGTCTCTGCTGCTTCTGCTGAAGCAGAGGCTTTTTTCTGCCACTCTGCTGAAAACGCAGGGCAGCAGGGAAAGAAGTCATCAATACTTCAAAGTACGTCTGGGCTCAAGAGTAAATTATGTGCCTCATCCTCTAGTAACTAATGCATACCAACAATCTCTAAAGTTTGTATGTAAAATGAAATACCAAAGTTCTCAAATTTTCTTCCCAAATCAAAACCACCGGAGTTCCCGTATCTAGATCCTCTTTCAGGCCTTACACTGAAGTGGGTTGGATCCATGCAGAAATGGGTCCTGAATATTGTAACAGCCTGTGAGTTGGATCTTAAAAAGTAAGAGATTTTGAACTATTCTAAGGAATATATGAATAATTTGAATTTCCCTTCTTTCCACCTTGCTTCATGAAATTCTGCATCTATGTTGTCTACTTTGAATTTTGCAAGTCAATACCTCTTCTTTCTTTTTCTCTGATCTGCCTCCAGTGAAGAGAAACTTCAAGGCAAGTGGTCAGATCAAAGCAATCCATCTCTCTGAATATGGTGATCCTTAAAACTAGGACACTGGAAGACTCCTAGTTATTAATATCCAAATCTCTCTCTCCAAGATAGCTAAAACACAGCAGCCTGCACTTCCAACATGGTGTTCAGAGGTTAGTCCTTCTTTTAACCTCACTAGAAAAACCAACAAAGCAGAGAGAGTGCTTGAAGTATTATACTGAAACGGTTCCCAACTCTGTGAGACATTTCAGTGCCTACCTTATACCCCTAACATAGCACGCGACTACTGACTTCAAGGCCCAGACCTTTTACAGACACTCTAAACACATACATTTTAAGAAAAATAATTTTCAGGTGTCACAGTGCAATATCCTGGATTACACCCGTGTTTCATACTTTAACCAATAAAAGAAAAATCATTCCAAGTATCACACAAGTCATGAGAACGTCTTGATTCTTGCCTCAAGCTCAAAAATCTACGACTGTTTGGAAATGTTCAGAACTAGTTGATCCTGCTGTAGGGTAGAGATACACTAGATGATCTCCTGAGGTCCCTTCCAGCTCTACCTCCTGTGATCTCGGCATGTAGAAGGATGGCAGCAGCAGCTGCTCCAATTGCTTTTCACAGGCTCTGCAAAATGTACAGTTTAGAAACGCGATGTTTTCATTCAGTGAAGAACCTTGGTCACACAAGCACCCTACACACCCTGTAATAACATCAACTAGATGTAAACCTGCAGACTCAAAAAAACTGGCACACTTTTCAGCAATTTGTCTGCATTTTTAAGATAGTGAATATACAAATGTGTTACTTGCTCTCGTCAGATTTTTCAGCCTAGGAATCTGCATAATATACAAAGCAATTAAACTTTGTAAAGCCAAAAGTGATATTTGCATATTTATAGCCTCCACTTTGTCTGGGGAGAAATCACCATGCATAGCTATTTCTTCACAGAGTTATAAAAGGAAGTCCATAGTTCATTAGTAAAGTAGAAAATTAAGCTATTTTGTAGGAGCAAAAATAAAAAATAAAAAACCCCAACCAAAAACCAGAAAATATAGTAGCTGCCTTGAATGAGAAATGGAAAACCATACAGAAACCTGACAGCTGTAGGAACTGCAGGAGAACTGAAATACAGTTAAATTGAGAGGAGGGGACACAAAAGTCTCTACCACCCTGACAGATTGAAGGAGGCAGCTACTTAGCAGCAGGCACCTTCACAGAAGTGACAACTCCCAAGTGAAGAGTCAGCAAGATCAGAGCACGGAGCAGCACAAACGTGTAGAAACAGGGACAGGGAGGAGGAAACAAAGGCCGATTGGTGCCGGGAAATGAAGAACAACAATATAGAGCAATAAATTATAATACAGTCCCAATCGGTGATTCACAGCAGTGATTGTTTAATAACTTCTTATTTTAAAGATGAGAAACTCAAACGTACTGTTTGGGTCTTCGTCTTCTAAAAAAACCCTTGTGAAATGTATGTAGGTACATATCCATACATACACTGTGTCCAGCACTGCTAAGGGGTTAGGGTTTAGGTTTGGGGCTTGTCTTTAACACATTTTTGGAGCAACAGACATCTCTCAGTAAGGAAAAAGAAGAGATCATGAAGTTGGTAATGTGAACATACTTTCATTTTTGCTGAAATTCTGTTGGGCTCTTACATATACTGTGACTATCAATTTAACCATTTTCAGTGCTAATCATGAAATATATTTGCTTATCTGTTATTTAATAGTATATCTAACCAAATTACCTGCGTATCTTAGCTCTGCAACAGGAAACTGTCTTTATAAAAATTAGTAAAAAAGACCATCTTTTTCTGTATATTTGATACATACCTCAGAAAAACTATGCTGTTTAATCTTCGAACCACATAGTGAGAACTGACTCAGAGAACAGTAAATTAACACTTTGAATAGCATCTAGGAACTTGATATACATAGTATTTAAATTCCCCCATAAAGATAGCTTTCAAAAATAACTAAATGTAACACCCCTGCTCAGAAAAGTACTCATAATTAAACTTGCTTTGTTCCACCTTAGACAATTAATTCATGACATGCCTGAGGAACTTGCTTGGGGAAAGCACCAGTTTCCCTACCCTGCTGGCTTTATTTTGTTAATAACAACTTTCGCTCTTTTTCTATTTGCAGATTTATCACCCATAAGCATTGGAAAACCACAGTCCACTTCTTCAATCTAAGCATTTTCTGGACATAAAAGAAATCGTTTCAAAGGAAGGCCTAATAGTTTCTGGTGTCAACAAAATCCAACATAATAATAACTTCACTAAGGCAAGAGTTCATGGCTGCAGGCATTCGACAAGAAAGGTAATTTAAGCAAATTAAATCAGTTGCAAACAGATTCTTATGGTTCTGGTGATTTGAAAAGCATGCTGTGATGCTGAATTCAGGGTATATATTTCAGACAGGTGTTCTATAATACTTCTCTGCACAAAGCACATGCAATGCCTGGTACTTTGTCAAGAAAACTCAAAGCCTCTACACATACAATTTAGAAGCTGCCATTCGCTCCAGCTCTGTGCTGGTCACCTGTAACCTATGTGCATTGCACTTTCCCAAAACCCCCTCAAGCTTTATGCAAGTGATGAGAAAGACATACGCTTTTATAATCATTGCCCTGAGCATTAAGAGGTAAGGTCTCAAAACAAATCTAGTAGGAATACAGGCAAGCTGGATGGTCATGGAAAAAAACCCTTGATCTGTGCTGTGGTTTCCAACCTGTAAAATGGCTGGGTTTTTTCTTCCACTTCTTGTCCTACCTTTTCAGGTTGAGTGCTTTGGCATGAAACTGCTTCTTCCTACTGGCACGTTGGGTAATTAATGCAATGGCGGACTGATTTAAGTTTCATTTGTGAAACAGTACTACACATATATTTGTAATAAAAAGTGCATTTCAACTTAAAAGTAAGCTTATTTTGCAAAAAATAGAAGAATTTTTACCTACTGCAGTGCAAGCCATTCTGTGTTGATCTGTTCATAGGGTAAGGTGTTGAGGCAGATGACTACTATTTGCTTTTTAGCTACATATTCACAACAAAGCCACAACCACATGACAAAACCAATTTATGTCTATGATCTCCATCTGAAAGCTGTAATGGCAGTTTTAATCAAAACACATAACAATATCATAGGCAGGAAGATGACGCATGCTACAGCTTTATGTTCTTTTAAAGTATTTTAACATGACTGGTGTATTTCTCTTTATGTTATTGAAAAAAAATTTTGGTTTTTTATCTAAGTTTTTTCCTGTTTGTAACTGCTCTGTTTTCAGACACAGCTCCAGATTATCGAGGGGTCCTGAGAATAATTAAAAGGAAAGGGAGACTGATTAAAATGAGTAAGTGGTTGAACTTAATCTGGGGTTGACCTATAAGACTTTAGGTATGAACAATGTACACTGGGTTTTTTTTAAAGCCACTTTCAGATTGCTTGAGAAGGCACAAAAATCTTGCGATAGAAAGCATCA